TCTAATGTCCTGCTGGTTACTCTTTCTTCGTTCCGGTCATTATTAATGTTTCTGTTCTTAATTCTTCCATACCCAATAACCTCTTGTGTCTTAGTGGCATTAATGCCTTGCATGGGGTGATTCTCATAAAAAAAAGTCGTCTATCGACTCGGATAACCTTCAGGGAATTCTAAACTAGACCTTTTATTTAAGCTATGGATATTGTCCTGGTGCTCAATGGTCTACTGGATTAAAGCATTGGTTTGTGAGTTCAATCCCTGGGTCGGGCAATGTACTTGGACTCAGTGGAAACAGGGCGGCCAATAACTAACCATTACTAAAAAGAAGAACTACACGAGATATTCCTGGACAGTAGAACGAGAACAGTAGGCCTCAGTAGATTAAATAAAAAGTTCAGTTCGGAATTCCCTGTAATAATAATAATAATAATAATAATAATAGAGATCGCACACAAAAAGTGCCTCCTTATTGATATGGCAGTACCTGCAGACTGCAATGTATCTTTCAAGGTCTTCAAAAAGCTATCAAAATACAAGGACCTCGAAATCGAAATCTCAAAAATATGCCACATGGGAACATCAACAATCCCCGTTGTAGTTGGAGTCCTCGGATTGGTTGGAAAAGATTCCAGTAGACTAATTGAAGGGATTTCTGGAAGTCAATGCCTTAAAGAAATACAAAAAATTGTTCTCACGAGTACAGCACCCACCTTACGAAGGGCTTTGTCTATGTAAAATATTTTTTTTTAGTGGGAAACGTCATGATGCCATTTCTAGCCGTAGGTCGCTGAGCGGGACCGGAAAGAAATGAGTACACATCAGAAATCAAATGAAATAAAATAATAATAATAATAGATAAATAGATAGGACCTGTAACAATTTTATAGGACTTTACAATACACACAGACAGAACAATCAAATCTAATCGCCTACATATCGGGATCAAAGACCACAGGAACAAAATATGTTTTCTTATTGACATGGCACTCTCTGCAAACTGTAATGTATCTTTGAATATTTTCAAAAATCAATTACAAAACAAGGATCTCAAAAATATGGCACATGAGGTCATCAATAATTCCAGTTGTAGTTGGACCCCCGGATTGATTGGAAATGGTTCCAATAAACTCATTAAAGGGATTCCTGGTAGTCCATGCCTTAAAGAAATACAAAAAGATTTTACTTAAAATACAGCTGACACATTAGGAAGAGCTTTAGTTATGTAAATTCTGTGTGATCTTTACAAAATTGTTCAGTGAAGCCATTTCTGACCTTAGGTCTTTGGACCCGGAATGAAACGTGCATACAACAGAAGCCCAAGAAAATAATAATAATAATAATAATAATAATAATAATATGATGATGATGATGATGACGATGAAAGAATAATAGCAATATTTATTATCCGTATCAACATTACATATTACATACATTACTATAGTCTTTGACTATTTAGTTTAAAACCATCACCCCTACCAATGGTGCTATTTGTTTGAGGTAGTAAGATTTGATGGAGAACAGCGCGGAAGAAGAGAAGATAATAATAATAATAAGAAGAAGAAGAAGAAGAAGAAGAGAGAGGAGATGTGATGGAAAAGTCAGAAGAATGAAAAATTAAGGAACACTGAATAGGAGAGAAAAAAGTTGAAAAAAATCGGATTAATCATTATAAAAGAACCAATGAGTTTTTGATGAAAAAAAACCCAAAAAAAAACAAAAAGAAAAAAACAAGAAAAAGAAAAAAAATTCATATTTTAATTGTTGGTTTTTCTTATTGGAATTTCAAGAATAGATACAAACAATAAAACAGCCCAAAACATGGCGGCGAATCTATAAATTCATGAATATAAACTCTATCTTTAGCAGAAAGAAAGATAATGAAAATTTGAATAATGTGAATGTTTCACATGAATGATTTTTGCCTAAAGATTACAAATTAGCAGAATCTTTTTTTCTTTCTCGTTTTACTTCGATTTACATTCATTGCATTCATTTATTTTTATTTTTTTAATTTCGGCAAATTCTGTTTGTCTTTTGTTTTTCTTTTAAGGTTTTTCAATGATTCAACATTTTTAAATATCTATTTTGTTTTTCCTTTTGTCTTTTAGTTATTTTGATTGTTCTTTCTTTCATTTTGATGTTTTACGTTTCTTTTTTCCTTAATTAAAGCTTTTTTTCCCTTGCTTTCCTTTTTTCTTTGCTTCGAGGGGTGCTTTTTTCTCTAATTTCTTTTCTGTTATCTTTTTTCGTCTTTCTTTCATTTTTCATTTCTGTTAATTTCTTGTGTTTATTTTTAAAAAATATTTTCCATCAGAGTAACTTTTTCTTTTCTTTTTGCGTTTCATTTAATCAGCATTTTGTTTTTCTGCGTCATTCTTTCTTTATTTCCTTCATTTTTTTTCATTTAATTTCTGCATGTATGATTTCTTTTCTTTTTCTTTTTTCTGTATTTTTGTTTTGTATTCTTTTCTATCTGTTAATTGTTTTCTTTTTATGACTTTTTTGTTTTTCGTTCTTTTAATCTTTTTTCTTTCTTTTTCGTTTAGTCAATTTAAAAATTTTTTTTTTCGCACTCGATCTTTCTAACTTTTTCATTCGTCTTTTTCATTCTTTTAAATCTTTCTTTTGTCTTTCCTTTTTCTTTCACTCAGCATTATTCACATTTCATTTTTACCCCACTTTCTAACTTTTTCATTCGTATATTTAATTCTTTTTATCTTTCTGTCTTTCTTTTTCATTTACTCAACATTGTTTAAATTTCATTTTTAACCTCTCTTTCTTTTTCCTTCGTATACATATATTTCTTTCTTTCTTTCTTTCTTTCTTTCTTTCTTTCTTTCTTTCTTTCTTTGTCCCTTATTTTCAAAGTCCAGTCTTGTTTTATCTGAATGGATATTTTTTTCCTTTTTTTAAAATTATTTTTATTTAAGCATTCATTAATTCAACCTTTTCTTTAAATTTATTCTCCCTGTTTTTTCACCAAAACATTCTTAATAACCCACCTTTTCCCCTTGTATTCGTATCAAGTTATGAAAAGAATATCTATATTTTCGAAGCAGAACTAATTCATACTGGGTTTTGCTTGACTCACGTAGTTGTCGTTAAGCCTGATAGAAAAAAAAAATGAAATTCTGCATGCAAATCTTGTCCAATTCTTAATTCAGAACGAATTTGCAATTGGCTTTTAATCAATATTACTGTCTTTGCTGACATATAAGATATCTTTCCACGATTAGCAATGTATCTTAAGAAAAATATGTCGCGTGTTTAGGGTCAGCATATGCATTATATGCATTATTATATGATGTTATTATATACTGATATATGTAGTTAGAGTACAGAAAATAAGAAATATGCAACAAGCTAAACAGAAAAACTAATTTTAATAATAATAATAATGATGATATTTCCAGTTGTAGTTGGAGCCCTCGGATTGATTGGAAAAGATTCCGATAAACTCATTGAAGGGATCCCTGGTAGTTCATGCCTTAAAGAAATACAAAAAAATAAAAAAATAAAAATAAAATAAAAAAATGTACTCACAAGTACAGCTCACACATTATGAAGAGCTTTATCTAAGTAAATTATGTGTGATCTTAGTTTTTTTTACAGAAATGTTTACTAAACAGAAGGTAAAAGTATTAATTACAGTAGCAATAATAATAATAATAATTAGACTATAGCTAAAATTACTACTACTAGTACAACTGATAATAATAATAATAATAATAATAATAATAATAATAATAACAAAAAAGAGCCTCCTTATTGATATGGCAGTCCCTGCTGACTGCAATTTATCTTTGAAGATATTAAAAAAGCTGTCAAAATACAAGGACCTTGAAATAGAAATCTCGAAAATGTGGCATATGGGAACATCAACAATCCTTGTTGTAGTTGGAGCCCTAGGACTGGTTGGAAAAGATTGCAGTAGACTAATTGAAGGGATTCCTGGAAGTCCATGCCTCAAGGAGATATAAAAAATTGTTCTGACAAGTACAGCCCACACTTTACGAAGGGCTTTATCTATGTAATATTTTTTTTTTGTCAGTGGAATGTGTCATGATGCCATTTCTAACCTTATGTCCCTAGGCGGGACCCGGAAAGAAATGTGTAAACGCCAGAAATCAAAGGAAATAATAATAATAATAATAATAATAATAATAATGATGATGATGATGATGAATATAAAATCGTCACTATAGAGTGGGGCAATACGTACACTAGACAATGTGAAAACACTTTGGAAAAGATGTTAATAAACACTGGTATGGACATCACTCAGCACCGGTTGCAAAAAATGAAGACATCCCAATTCGATGAGATTGCATCATCTTTACAGACAGGAAGATTGAAGCAAATAGGCCGGACACAATTGTCAAAAACCGAAAAGTAAAAACTTGCCTACTAATTAATATGGCTTGTGCAGAATAAAGGCCTAGAAATCGAAATAGGAAAATATATGGAAATTGAAAACAAGAACAGTACGAGTGTCATAGTAGGTGCACTTGGAATGATAAAAAAGGAACACAACAACACAATGAAAAAAATCCCTGGAAATCCCAGCTTAAAAGAAGTACAAAAAAATGTTTGCCCATAGACTAAGAACTTTGTCCATGTAACGCTAGTGATGTTATGGGAGTTCGAAAAACAAATCATGAATTGGGGCCATAGTAACACACCACTATCAGCCATAGGTTTTTCCGCAGACTTGGTAGGCAGTGAGACCATCGCTGAAATATAATAATAATAATAATAATAATAGTAATAATAGTAATAATAATGATGATGATGATGATGATGTTTTGTTTTTCTCTTGATAATCACTATTGCATAATGGAGCATTTAAAGGCTTCTTTTGTTATTTCTGTTTTCTTTTACAAGTGAAAATGAAGTCTGTTTTATTATCATTATTGAGTTTGTTTTTTGATTTCGATATTATTACATTTCATGATTTCGATTTCCGTTAAAATTACTATCCTCATTGCTCTTATTGCAGAGATGTTACTCAATCCATTCTTTCTTTCTTTCTTTTCATATTTTGCCTCCTCTTTTATTTATTCTTATTTCTTTTCTTATCTTTCCTTTCATAATTTTACTCTATTCCTCTCCCTGGTTTTTTTCCTCGTTTATATTCGTTCTTTCTTTCTTTCTTTTCCACTCTATCCTATCTTTTTATATTTTTACTATCTTTCCTTTCATAATTTTACTCTCTTTCTCTCTCTTGTTTTCCCCCGTTTCTCTTTCTTTCTTTCTTTCTTTCTTTCTTTGCACCCTTTTTTATTTTTTCTTGTTTCTTTTCCTATCCTTCCTTTTTATCAGTGGAAAATGTCATAAAGCCATTTCTGAACTGATATCTCTGGTTGGGACCCGGAAGGAAATATTTATACAACAGAAATTCAAGGAAATAATAATAATGATAATGACGTCATGATAAATTAACCATCACAATATATTGGGAACTATGCAGAATGTATGACCCTGAGTGCGCAGAGAATTGGTACGAGTCTGTATATAACCGCTTTCTATGATCAATGTTGAAAAAATGCTTTGTGTGAGTAAAGCATGAGGGTCTTGGCAAAGATCATCCTTCTTTGAACATTGTGGGCTGGCGCTACAGAATCACAAACAAATAATTATACCAAATAACAGAAACGACATCACTTGAGGATTACCAACAGTAGCAACAACTAAAATGAACAGCGCATATAACTCAAAGAGAAAATAATGACATAATCAAGATGTTGACATTCCACACAACTTCAAATAAAAGGCTAGGAAGGAAACCCCCATCAATACTGGCAAGAGCGATAAAAGCTACTGGACTTGAGAAACTTGTTTTCTTTAAGAAAGTGTTTGAAGAGAAAACTTGTTTTCTTTAAGAAAGTGTTTTAAGTGAAAGATTTTATAAATTCCAACCGAAGGCAGTACTAGCTGCTCACTCAATGAATGGCAAATGTTTCATGGGAGGGGAACGGCTAATATTACCAATACCATTATTATTCACCACTGTCAGTAGCCGGGAATGAGCAAATAAAGGTAATGTGGGATGCGACCGTTTTGATTGATAAGCGCTTGGGGAGAAATTGCCCTGACATCACACTTTTTGCACAAGATACAAATAGATTTTGCGGTAGTGTTGGATAAGGATATCAGAGCAAGCGAAAATACAGAGGTACCAAGACCTGGCAGCTTAAATCGGAGAAATCTGCCGAGCAGCAGTTCAGACTGTCCCTTTAATGATTGGATCAATCTGGACTATCTCCATGAATCTTTCTATCTCGTAAAACACTTTGGGGATAGCTGGCATCATTGAAAGCGCGCGGGTGGTAGCGCTGCGTCTAACATCTCATGTGACAAGGAAAATGTTGCATCTTTAAGGTGACCATAACAACCCAGCTAAAACATAATAGATTCAGAGAAAATTCCCAAACAGTTAAATAAACAATAATAATATTAATCATAATAATGCAAAATACAAGGCAAGGAGACAAGAGCAGAAACCGTTTTATTAAACACGCAACAAGTTCAGATGAAAACACCAGTAAATCAGAAACACACACACACACACACACACACACACACACACACACACACACACACACACACACACACACACACACACACACAATAAGTAAAAAACTGGCGTAAAAAAATGATATTAAATTCGAAACAATCAGCTTTAATTTTTATGGTAACTTTTTTTTTAACTGCTTTCATTTAATCACTACAGAGAACTTTTTCTGCCAGCCATCAGCATGGCTGATGCTAAACTCCTGGAGACAAAACTCTACGCTTTCTTGGCCTCATGTTTTCCATTGACATGAAGGCGATTTACTTGACCCCCACCCCCACCTCTCAACCCCCATGGAGTCAGGTTGTGACACACGGTCGGTTTAAAGTAGAGAATCCGAGCGCGTACACTCTAGGTAAGGACAAAAATTCCCCGAGCCCCGCGACCAACGGTTGCGCTGGTCTCGGTGCGTGCAACGATCCCTCTCTCTAGTGCAGCGAGATGGTGCAGCCACGGGCGTCTGCTCCCCCGGGCTGGGCACCTCACAGTGTGATTTTCTTTAGTTGCGCTTTTGTCCTCCGACGTAGCTGCAATTGAGTCACACTCTGCCCAAAGACAGAAACGCAACTGAGAGATGATAAAAACCTACCAGGCCTGTGGCAGATGTGAAGTGGGGCAACGATATTGAATCCATTGACACATCTACTGCATGGAAATCTGGTTCACTTTGTCGTGCCAGAAATGTTTTCTCGTCAGAATCCATCTTGTACATTTATAAATCTACCATTCGACCATGCATTGAATACTGCTTCCATATTCGACCTAGTGTTCCTTCTGTACATCTTCAGATTCTTGGCAAAAGTAATGTAATCGATCCTGACTAAGCATCTCAACGTCAGTCACTTTCTCATCGACGTGACATGGCTTCCCTCTGTCTTTTCAACATATATTTTCATGGCAACTGTTCTGATGAGCTTTTTTTTGACTGGTGTTCCGACTACAGGAATTTAAGCGTGCTACTAGATAGGCAACTAGGTCTCACCGTTTTGCTGTTGAACGAACTAGATGCAACCGCCAATACTCTAACAGTTTCCTTTCTTGGACTTCTCACCTGTGAAACTCCCTTCTGATTTCTTGCTTCCCTGATAACTACATTCTTCAAAGATTTAAATACAACGTCAATCACCATCTTCATCTTTCACTTCTGTAAGCCTTCTGTTTTCTAATGTCGTTATCACCTTGTTTGGAGTGAAAGGATTTTAAATAAATAATATATTTGCAGAATATGTGGCGATTTCAATGAAACTATGACACACATAGTGAATGAGTGTCCAAGTTTAGGTCAAGAATGTTTTAAAAGTTGGAGACTTCTTCAAGGTATCAAAATCATTCTTTGGAAGTTTATATGACAAGGAATAGTACAAACATAAACTTGAGAAAGTCCTTGAGTGAGAAACACACAAGATTTTGTGGAATTTTTCAATACAAATAGATAAGAACAACAAACCAGACATATTGGTGGAAGGTAAAATAGAAAAAGGAAGGTTAATCATTGATACATGGCGTCCTTTTGATTACAAGGATGGAGCAAAAAGAGGAAGAGAAAAGGACCAAATATGACCCATTGAAAGTTGAACTAGGAAGGCTTCGGAAGTTTGAAGGAGGTCAGAATCCTACCAGTTGTCATTGGCGCATTTGGTACGGTGACTGACCAAATAGAGACATGGGTAACGGTGGGATAATTCACTGTGGAGAACTTGAAGCCTTAAGCTTGAATTGAATTAAAACGTTTGTTCGTAGATTTTGTGACATAGTAATTATGAGTTCAATAACTAGTACGGGCAGTGTGTACTTGGACTTAATGGAAACAGGATGATAACAACAACAAAGATGAAGAGAATAGTCCGCATGTAAATAGTGTAAATAATAATAATATTCAAATTGGTAGAAGATAAAATAGAAAAGGACGGGTTAATCTTTGGTCCATGGTGTCCATTTAATACAAGCATAGAGCAAAAGGGAAGATGAGAAAGTAATCAACTTTGACCCATTGAAGTTTAAACACGCAAAAGGTTTGTTATTTAAAGAAGGTCACAATCAAACCAGTTGTCATTGGTGTACTTGGTACGGTGACTGACAAAATGACGACATGGATGAAGAAAATTGGCACTGATTGTTCTGTGAAACTGCTTTAGAAAGGAAGCTTCTTGAGAAAAGCAAGAAGAATATGGAAAGTGACGAACACTTAGTGTCAGAGGAAAATGACATTATACATAAGGTTTCTGGTTGTAGCCCACTCTCCAGGCAATAATTGCCAGATATTAAGATCTTATCTGGTGAAAAAAACCTGATAAATAAATAAATAAATAAATAAAATAATAATAATAATAATAATAATAATAAAATCATTGGAACACACACACACACACACACACACACAAACAAACAAACATTGGAAAAAGCATGCAGATATTGGATTGTGATTTGGAAATAGAGTCATTGCTAGTTGTCTACCTTAGGTTGCTTTTCTCCACCAGGTTGTTCATATCTATCTATCTATCTATCTATCTATCTATCTATCTATCTATCTATCAGTTTCTTCGTATTTATCTATCTGACAATATTCTATCTTTTCTATCTGTCACTCTCTCTCCTTCACTCTCTCATCTATCTATCTATCTATCTATCTATCTATCTATCTATCTATCTATCTATCTATCTATCGTATTCTTTTCTTTGACTGCATTTCAAAGTAATTTCTGTTATTTCCTTCTTGACGGAAAATTATAAAATTATGAATTTTTGTTTTTCATTATCTTAATTAATTGTGACATTCCCTGGTTGAAAATATATTTGTTTCTCGATCTGAAAATTTTTCAAATACTCAAAGAACACGAGAAAATGTCCGGATCAAGAATTTACCATATTCTTTGCGTTTATTTCAAGATAATTTTCAAGCCTTTCGTCTGTTTTGCTAATTAGAAATTATTGAAGAGAAGCCAAAATATAGAAAATCCAATTCACGTTTTGCTATGCTGACCCCTAAGTTATCTCTCCACCCACAACTCCTCTAGAGAAGAACTGTGTCTATTATTGCTTTAGCAACAACTCGTCAATATTAGGGGAGTCTATTATTCCCTCCTTTCTTGGCATGTATAGCATCAAGCATTATGAGGAAAAATAATTTATTTTTCACTTATTACATTTTTTTAATATTAAAATAATAAATTCACTCAATAATTAAAATCTGACAATTAAAATATGGTAAAAACGTATATAAAAATATAATTATCTTTGGGCAAATTTTCAAAATGGACTCTAAGTTCATTATTTTATTTTGCGTTTTATAAATTCTGCAGAGATATTTTTTTATAGTAAAACTGCGTTAAATCGGGACGTCATCACTGATTTTCATTTAAAGTCTTTAAGGCTGAAAAACCATTCGTACAAGACCTTTCAACCGAAATGCATTCAACGCAGAATGTCCCATCCCTTAACCATGAGATCCGTTTTTCCGACTTACTGAGCAGCTTACAATTGCATTCAGTGAAAGAGAAATTGAACTTTTGGCTTTTATTTTTCGCGCTCTTTTCTTTATTAGACGCCATTTTTTCTATGCGTCCCTTTTTTCGATATTTCTTTTAACTGCATTTTTTCCTGTTTTTTTTTTTCTGTATTTTACAATTTACTTTCTTTTATTCTCCAGCCTTTCTTGCTTTCTTTAATTCTTTTTTACTTTCTTTGTTTTTCTTTTTCTTTTTTAATTTGTTCTGGCTTTCTTTTTATCTTTCTTTTGTTTCTTTCTATTATTAATTTTTTCTTTCGTTTTTATTTACTTTTTTTATTTTGTTCTTTCTATCACCATTATTTTTGTTCTTTCTTTCTTTCTTTCTTTCTTTCTTTCTTTCTTTCTTTCTTTCTTTCTTTCTTTCTTTTTTTCTTTCTTTCTTTCTTTTATTTTCGACCGTTATTCATTTCTTGAATTATCTTCTCCTTTCTTAAAGCTAATGACCTTTAAATGCTTTTGTCTATTTTCCTTCCTTCCTTCCTTCCTTCCTTCCTTCCTTCCTTCCTTCGTATTTTTTCATTTCATTCATTCCGTTTTATTCCTAATTTATATTTTTTAATTTTTCATTATTTTCTCCGTTTTTATATATAATTTATATATATTTAATTTTTATATATATTTTATATATATATATATATATATATGTATATATATATATATATATATATATATATATATATATATATATATAAAATTTTTTTCTCGGAAACATAATTCGTATTTTTCCATTCCATTTCTCCTTAAAAAATAAGAACTCTTTCATATATTTTTCCTTCATTCCTCTTTACAACAAAACCAACAGACCCCACCCCACCTGTCATAAACCACACCTTTTTTTTGTTTTTTGTTTTAAACATTTTATTTCGTTTCTTTCGGATTCCTTTTTTTTCTATTGACAATTTTCTTTTCCTCCCTTTCTTCATTTTCCCATCGATTACTTTCTTTAATTCTTCCCCTGTTTAAATATGGACATTGCCTCGTTTTTGCTTGTATTTCCCACCCTCTGTAACACACATCATTTGTTTTTGATTTTTATTTTGGTCTTTTTGTACCTCCTTATTTCTTTAATTTTATTTATCTATTTTATTTCTTTCGAACGGTAGGTGTAGACTATGGAAAGCATTTCTGCCAAATAAAAAATGTAAAGAATATCTATTGTTAAGTACGGAGAACGTGTGTAAAATATTTAAGTAGCCATTTTTTTTTGTAGATAACATGCTCCCGTTGAAAATACGAAAGTATTAGAGGATGCATAGGTGTACACACACAAAGATAATATATATATATATATATATATATATATATATATATATATATATATATAGAGAGAGAGAGAGAGAGAGAGAGAGATAGATAGATAATGTGTGTATATATATATATATATATAGATAGATAATATATATATATATATAATACACACACGCATACATGCACACACAGTCACACACACACACACACACACACACACACACACACATATATATATATATATATATATATATATATATATATATATATATATACTAGTTGACTTATGTGTACTTCTAGGATCTAAAATCTACGCATTCTTGCTTACAGGATTTAAAAAAAAAACTGCCCTACTGAAAAGCACTGGCCATTATTTATACAACAAGCCCGCTATGAATCCTCTGAGGAAATACGTATTTTTGAATTCTTCACGCAATTCAGTTTTAAAAAAAAGAAAAGGAAAAATGTGACGTATTCGTTTTATCAAACGCAGAAAAAAATTTAAGCAACTTTATGATGTTCTTCGACAATTTTGAAAGACGTTTTCTTTTCGGAAATGCTGCAGTACACTTTTAGATTACTTATGCTGGCGAGGTGTCTCCCAAAAATTTGAATAGGATTGATCGATCAGTCAATCTGTCGAATTGCTCAGCGTTTTCCAGGTCTCACTGGAACATTCAATACAATTCTCGAAATCACTCCACCAGAAAATAAAATAAAAATAATTTTCCTTCAATTTTTCTTTCTATTAGGAAAAAAATTGTCATTTTGATATTTTGCTGCACTCACGAAGGTCTGTTAAAGCTCACTCTACCTCGAGTTGTTCTTGGGCCTTGTACCGTGAAAAAAACAAAAAACAAACAAAAAAACAAATATAATTGAAATATACAACCCATTGTTCAAAAAATGAAAAATATTCGCTCCGTGTGCTAATAGATAAGGTACCAAAATCGTTCTGACAAGTTTTCTCTTTAAAAGCGTCAAATTAGACCCCAAATGGTGTATTGCTGCCAGATCATGTCTGGAACTGCTTCACTCTCCAGAATAAAAAAAAATGAAACATTTGAAGAAAACTAAGGATATCATGAACCAAGCGTATGAGCAACGATGAGGTTTTGGAGAGGATGCAAACAAGAAGGAAGTTTATACTTAACATCAGGAAGAGGCAGCTGAAATTTCTGGGATAAGTAATGAAGAAGGAGAGCTTGGAGAATCAGATACTCACAGGTCGAATAGAGGGAAAGACAGACAAGGGAAAGCAATGCATGACATACCTGGCCGGCTTAAGCAAGTGGATAACAGAACGTGGGAGAGGTAGTAGTGGGACGAAACTTATTGAGAGCTACAAGGGATACGGAGAAGTGGAGAGCCATGATTGGCTACGCCCGGAAGAGACATGGTATATAAAAATAAAAAAAGAAAACGTTTTCGGTTAGTTGTTTGCCAGGATTGTGATCCTAGAGGGTCTTTAGAAGGCTTTTTGTTGAAACTATATTTTGGGGGTATGCCTAAATTTCTATTCAGACCTAGAACGTGTGAATTTATTTTAAAATTGTAATTTAACTCCGACTTTTGGCATTTTTGCTGACATTTAAATGAAAGCACTAAAAAGACGCATCTAACTTTATTAAATACTATGATTGGGCTGTTAGAAATATGCAGCTACAGTGAAATTGATGTTATTGCCTTTGATAGTTTTTATGTTTGATAAAATCTTTACCACAATTGCGAAACTATTTCACTGATATAATTTCATGTTTTCCATTTGTTGTGAGAAAGTAAATATATTTCATTTAAACAGTCAAAAGTCGAAGTCGGATTGCTTTGTGCGTACCAAGTGGCGTAAAATGCCATCGGCATATACTTATATATATATATATATATATATATATATATATATATATATATATATATATATATAGAGAGAGAGAGAGAGAGAGAGAGAGAGTAAAGGTAACCAATTCGTCGGTATATAATCCAGGTGGATCCTAGTAATATAAAATATTAAAAATGATTCACAAAAAGAGCTCAATGTATTTATTATTACAGAGCAAAAAATTAATAAACAACAAAATCCAAAATCACCTCATGTGGGGAATAGCCTATTTTTTAGCTTTCACAATTAAATTTCTATTTCTGACACGAACTCAATCCACACAAAGGTTGATCATTGACGGACGACCGATATCTTCGTCTGCCAAAATAAGCTATTCCCCACATGAAGTGATTTTTGATTTTATTGTTTATTAATTATATATATATATAAAGTTCACACAGTAAGTGCTGGTGGTAACAAAACAGTGTTCGATGCATAACAGAGCTAAAATTTATACCAATAATAAATATATATTTTACTCACCATTAGCACACACACACACACACACACACACACACACACACACACACACACACACACACACACACATCAAATATATATATATATAAATTCAAAAAATTAAATGCAACATTAATCATTACATTTTATCGTCTTAAACTCCGTTATTTTGTTATTCTCATTCCTCAATAAGTTTTTTCTTTTTTTCATATTCTTTCACACTCATTAACCCCTTGGCGTCATAGTGGCTTTATTGCCATGCCTTTTTTACCATGATGTTTATTCCGTACCAGGACTGAGGGCCACTCGAGGTCGAGTGTTACAGAGTAAGAGGCACAGCTTATGCGGACATGGGTGGAAGATAAGGGTTAACACCAGAACAGATTAAGATTGTGGTGGTCAGGGAAGCCTCCTCCTTGGAGTCAGTTCCACAAGTGGAGTGAATATATATATATATATATATATATATATATATATATATATATATATATATATATATGTGTGTTTGTGTATGTGCGTGTTTGTGTGTGTGAGGAACTAACGCTTTTTTCTTTTATGTCATTCTTTATGTGTGTGTATTGGTGGAGTTCAGTGCAGTACTATACCAATGCAAAACCATGAAATACCCACCCCAATTTTATTAAGTCGCATACTCTTTTATCAGGGCTTGTGTAAGGTTCTCCTGCCCCACTGAATGTATGATACGGTCCCACCGTCTACTACATTTCGATTTTCATAAGGTAATATTCATAAGGTAATATTCATAAGGTAATATTCATATAAGATACAAATTTTAATTGTAATCTAATCACGTACAACAATGGAGCATATGCAATATAGGTGAACAATTCAACTAGAAAAATTGAAGATAAATACAATGTATCTAAATACAAATTAGAGACATGTCATAATTGATCATTTCAAATTATCAAATAAATCAACAATGTTTTGCGGCAATTTTTAACATCAACTTTTTCTTGTTAAGAAGTTTAATTAATTAAACATGATAGACAAAAAATAATGAATATTATTTAGCGTTTTTTTTTTCAAGACTTAGCATAAATGAATAAAACAAATTCACGAATCCTCAAAAATGTTTCATTCTTTAATAATCTGTTGTGATTGGTTTAATGTGTAACGTACATAAATGTAGGGAGAAAAAAAAAATCATACACAGCCGTCCTGAAAGACGCATGTCCTAGTGAATGAAGTAGGTTGGTTAAATCCAGTGACTAGATCTAAAGAGTTGTGAGTTCAATACCAGGCCAAAGCAGAGGTGAACCAAAAAAAGTTGGAGATTCAAATATAAATAACCTATATTTACCTATCCCTAAACCCAACGCTGGTGCAAGGGTCTTGTGCTCTACCCTCCAAATCTATGTTACGCTACCCCCCACCCCTGTACTATATGTCACTTTTTACAAGTATTGATATAAAATACAAATTTTATTGTAACTTAATTATATACAATAATGGATCATATGCAATATTGGTGAACAATTCAACTAGAAAAATTGAAAATAAGGTAAATAAGTATTTAAATACAAATTAGCGACATGTCATAATAGATTATTTCATTTTAAATAAATCAACAACGTTTTGCGGAAATTTTTAACATCAATTTGAATAACTCTTACAAATTATGGATAATAGAGAATTTTATAGAGTGTATTTTAGCATGAGTAGAACAAATAAGACCCTAGAATGACATTAAATTTCCGCTGTCCTTTAATAGATGTGCTTAGTTTAATTTGTAACGTATATAAATTTAGGTAGAAAAGAGCAAATGTTGATAAAATAGCCTGGGTCACAAAGCATTGCCCGTGGATTC